AGAGAAAAACAAAATTGAATGTACCTAAGGGTTTTTATAGAATAATGTATGTTTAAACTTTCAGTCCTTTTTAAATGTATTAAAACATTTTAATTCAAATATTTGAGTCCTTACCTTATTTAATCCTCTCTATTAAGTACAAATATTTCCCTTAAACACTGCAACTTTAACTTTCGGGTTGCGATTTTAATGAACGAATTATTATTATTATTATTATTATTACTATTATTATGACGTGTTAACCGTCTATTGTAATATAGAGTAAATCACGTGAAATCAGCAAGAAATCAATTCAGAAAAAACTCCCAATAACCTTTTGTACTGCATTCACCCAGCATCATATTGCCGTGAAATGATATCTGTCTTGAGGCTAAAGAAAAGTTCCAAAACTGAAAACGGTATTTTTCTGCCCAAAACGAAAATACAGCGTCACCTGTAGCACACTTCACTCAATATATATATATTTTTTTTTACTTTTGGAACTTTTGCATTATTTTTCTTATGATTTATTATATTATTGGCAGGAGCAACCCATCTCCGAGACGTTTCTCGCTAAATTGCTTTCAGCTTGAGCGGCTTAGTTGTAATGTCTGCGCCGCGCGTTTCGATACAACGTGAACTTGATCTGGTTTTGGGACGCTATCATGACATGGTCCAACTTAATTTCCTGCTGCAATTGTCCGTGTTGATTGCAATTAAGTGGACCACATGTCAGCTGTGATGATGACATTTTCTATTGTGTTCACCCGTCAAAGTGACAGCAGCAGTAAGATTCTCTTGACAAGAAATAAGAGAATGCTACTTTCTTCACAATTGGTTGCATAGCGACTGGCCATTTTCAATAACGATACCATCCCCTGCGCTCTACTGGACGGTACATTTGAGGTGGTCATTTTGTTATCACTTTACTCGAATACCAAGAGATGATTACACGCTTGAATATCGGAACAAATTCAACGAGACAAAGTAGATAATAACAGGGCCGCTGAACGATCATCGGGATATGGTAGTCTAATTGGAATCTCTCCACGGAATACAATACGGTATAAAGTACGCTGTACTGAGCTTTACGCAAAGTAGAGCAGATAATCAGGGAATTCAACCCGCTTGGCAACAGATTTCGCTGTGAAGGCGGGATCATTTTCTTTAGTTCCCAAGCAATGGCGATAAACACTATCTCTCAATTTTTTACCCAAATGTTGGTGGAGACAGAAATTAAAGTGGAGAGTAAAAAATGTCCAGATACTGCATACAGCTTATCAAAATAAGAAACGTGGACTAGTAATTACTGCAGCGGGCTGTGTTTATTTTGAATCTGCAATTATGTTTGGGGGGGGGGGATAATGCAAGAAACGACGGATATGGGCTCAAGTCTTTTATTTACTTAAAGCAATCTTGTTTATGATTCCAGTCAGTATTCGACCAAATGTTTACGTCGATGTCGCTCAGAAAAAGTCCAAAACACAGAAATTATCACCATCGTCACCATCGTAGGGCCAAGTAATTATAAGTTGTCAAGTTAAAGATTTGGTAGACATGCGCCTCGATGCTGGACCAAATGGCCCAATTTGCATAGATCTATAAAATCTGACGACTGTATAGAGCTGCTGTTGAAGATTGATCGAAAGTTTGACGGTTGCTGTCACAGGTAGCAAGCAGCGGAATATTTCTCTTTTTTTCGTATCTCAAAATGTTAAGAAGAAAATCAAAAGTACATGTATAGCGACAACCAATTCAAGGGAAAACGCGTATTTCGAGCAAATCCAGTGTGTCGGAAAAGATTCTCCTTAGCGCTGATCACAATCAAGAGCGACTATCAAAACAGCTTAAGCGGAACAATAGGCAATGTTTGCCGATCGTTGTTTATGACAAAGGGAGTATGACACGTTTCTGTTTTTTTTTTTTTTTTTTTTTTTTGGCGAGTCGTGGTGATACTGCTAAGATCCTCCCCCGAGTTTACCCATGCCAACGGCCCTTGGCAACGAAGGCGGGTCACAGACCAAGCCACCGGTGCCGATGAGTGCAGCATCAAAATCCTCAGAAAAAAGCGTATTTTTGGTTCAAAATGTAAAAATGTTATTCCGTTAAACGCTAGATACTCATTTAACCAATAATTAGACATAAAAAACCCAAAATGATGATTCTTAGCCGTATTTGGGTACATCCAGCCCTTAACTCTTTTTACATGATTACCTAAAATAAAGTTTCTCCCTTGTTTTGGACTTACCTATTTTTGTGCACTAGATCTATACAGCTATTTATGACGAATCTTCCAAGATGCCGTACTTAGGTATTGTGCTAGGGAAGATAAAACGCATTGCGAGAACGCATCAAGTAGAAATTCTTAGACACTGCTAGAGAACGTAGAACGCACTGTGCGAACGCTTCAAGTAGCACTACTAAGCCATTGTGCTAGATGAGATAAAACGAGGTAAACTTTATCTGAAATATTCTAGATATTGCGAAAGCGACTCCGCAAAATTAACATAATGTTAGTCATGAAGTCGCACTTCAGTAATTCAACTATTTTAGTCGAATATACAGTTAGTTTTTAAGACCTTTTTTGGTCGCCGCCAGATATTTGAAATTCAGGTGCTCGAGACTCTATGCCTCTGGTCCAAATTTACCTCAGGTGACGTAACTATCTTTTCATTGCTACCCAAGATCAAAGTGACCAGCCTCTCGGCAAACACGGGGCGTTACCATAACGTTACCATAACGTTATTTGGTTATATAAACGTTATGCTGTGGAAACGTAATAATAACGTTATGTGCTGGGTGGCCTGCCTGTCAAGCCACCGTTACCACACCTTTCGATAATAGTCTGTTAATGGTCTAACTGACTAAGACGATAAGTTGAGGTTGAGAGAGGAGCTTTGAGCACCCTATTCAACACACGCCACGCTCTAAGACTGGGTTCCCATCCCAGATCGATCTAACAGGATCGGTCCATCTCCACGGGGTTTCTCGCTAAATTGCTTTCAGCTGAAGTGGCTTAGATGTCTGGAACGCCTACTAAAACTGCTAAACAATAGTTAAGTCGGTTAAGTTAATTGCAATTAAGCGAGAATCCCCTTGGTGATAGTTCGATCCTAAGTTAGTACGACAGGGTCTGAGGATGAACTCTAAGATGTTCGGAAATCATTTTGTAAGATATTGGCTTTCAACTGGCTGAGAGCACATATTAAAATGAAAAAAAGGAAGAAGCATGGGCGGTGGGCAGTGCTTGAAACTCCGTACATGTGTGCATCGTCCTTGTTTAATCACACAGAGGGCGGGGGTGGGGGGGTGGGGCGGGGGGCTTATTTTAGGAATATTTGGGCAATCGGCTTAAAAATAAAGAAAACCAGCACAATGCGCCTTTTATTATTTTTTTATGTATATTATCAAGTTGAACAATAAAATGCATTCTTTCTGAACCCCACCTCTTTTCTTAATTATCGTGCAAAAGGCAAATTCACAAAGACTTGTAACCAGACACCAAACGAAAGATTCATAAAATGTTTTGCAAATATTTTCAGTTTTGTTATGTATTGCAGTCGCCCGGATTACTGGGGCACACACAACGTCTAGAAATGCACAAACTGTGGACATTGCGCGAGAAATAAACACTTCATATAAGATAAAAACAAATTTATTTCTGCACATAAGTGAAAACAACGGGACAATTGCAAAATACATAAATCTATTACATGCGTTTGTGTGTAATAAATTTATACAGACTGTCTCTAGGAGTATTCTGTAGAAACTCTATCGTGTCTTATTTAATTACACAATTACTACGGGTGTGTAGTGTGGTAAAGTCAAGTCTCCAATTTTTATAATTTATAATCATCTTACAAAGTATTACCTCTCCCTAACATAAAAACACACTGCATAAAAAATAAAAATATTAAATAAAGCCCTTCAACAAGAGTTATGATAGCCATCTTAACACGATTTTTATTCAATGACTAATAAACTAAAATACACAATTATAATAATAAAATATAAATAGCTTAATCTCAAAACTAACATTTAATTTATAAAGACTCGTATTTTTGCTTTGACATTATGTATATGAATTTTTCTACTTGCACAATTGTATTGTATTGTATTGATTTCGATTTGTAACATTTGCGTTATTATAATCAATAATTATAACACTGGGTGCACGTGTACATGCATTTCTCTATACATTTGGTCGAACATCAGTTTTTACATGTACCACAACTTCTATCTGGTCCATGCAATAAAAACATATTCTGGCACGAAGCGGTGTAACAGTATCCTGAGTGTCAAGGCACAGTAAAAGTTAGCTTGTTAAATATTAAAATATACCTTGTGATGGGGTCACTTTTACGAGCCCTGAGGAACAGCGGCCATGTTAGGCTCTGTTCACATGAAAATCTATTTTCTAAAAATCTAAAAATCTATTTTCGTATCTTGTGATCACAGTCTGTGCCCTGAATACCCCGCGGCGCAATTACTGGCGGGGCGAGCGAGTTACTTCCAAAGCTGTAATTAATTCTCGGCTGCGCTCGGAGGAGATTCTGATACCTTGACGCATGCGCAGTAGGAAGTTACTCCAACTTGTTTTGCACTACCACTAGCCATATTACGCGTCTGTATGCTTGAGTCGTCACAACTAAACTGATGAACTTCACAGCTTAGAGATACTACTGCGCATGCGTCAAGGTATCAGAATCTCCTCCGAGCGCAGCCGAGAATTAATTGCTGAGTCATCATACAATGGCATGCATTACAAAACCCTGGTTCTAAGTACTTGAGACATTTTCTACTACCAATGCGGCGTGGTGAAATGAAACTCGACGAGTTAGTCTCGTGATTAAGACACTGCCATGGAGACTTAACACGCTTTGCAAGAGAAATAAATTAAAACAAGTTAATTATCTTTACAAATTACGAAGTTGAGTAATATGGCTTCACCAAAGGCGGCAGGCGGCAGTGAAAGAATACCCCCCCCCCTCTTCTGTCCATATAAAAGAAGATAACGACTCCTATCTCTTAATCCATATAGCTCTCCCTCTGGCGTTCTCCTCGTCTGTCCGCAGAGCTGCCCGAACAGTGAAAGATTGTATCTTGCACGCCACCATGGACAACACTTGAATAATGCCTACAGCGACAAAAACACCACATGTCCACGTGAACACCTCTGAGCCGCTTGTCTTTTTAGTCACCACTGCCGCTATTAACCATGTGATGTTTATTGCCATGACAACCGGTAACAGGATGTTACGTAATTTACCCAAATCTTTTCCAATCTCGTCCCCACTCAATCCGAACTCGGTTGAGGTCCCAATAACTGTGTTGCGTAATGTTTCCCAGAATTCCGTTTCGTTATCGGACAACTGTTTTAAATATTGTACATGACAAGAGCACGTGACCTCAACTTCTTCTTTCATGTCAACTTTTTCTTCATTTTTGGTGTCCCAGTCGATCTTTTCTGACTCGGGGCGTTTCAATGGACAGATGGTGGGGACATCTCGCGGCCGGTTCTAAAACGAAATAAAGTTACGTAGAATACATTAAAGGTACATATGAACCGAGGATCGGTGGAGAGTGGCTTCCCATTAACACATATAAACCTCTTCTATTAGTTTCTTATACGACTCAATTCAATTTGACATGCGAAGGGATAAACTGAACAGATCGCTCAATCAGCTGTAAAAGAGCTTTAGACTGCTCCTTTCTTTAAATTTTTGGTCAAAAAATTAACCTACTTTTGTGACCTACTTTTCTGCCCATTGACATACAGCATAGAATGCTAGCAGAAAAATTCGTTCAAACTTCATTTTCAGGTGAAATTATACAATGCCTTTTGGTAATTCTCTTAAATATACTACTTGAAATTATATGCTGGTATTTGGATGGCTTTTGTGGCCAAAAATTGACATCTTTAATACTCAGATTGCACGTGTTTCATTTAATGGTATAACGGAAAAAATATCACAAAAGTCAGTAAATCTATAAACATAATATCAAGACTTGACCAAAACTTTCACAAAAAAATATATACAACGTTGAACTGAAATGCTCTCATTCCAAGAACAGCCGAGTCAATGCTTTAATTTAAATCAATATTTTATCATCTATACTCAAACAGACCTAGTGTACAAGCCAGTAGTTAAATGGACGGTTGGTTTTTGTTTTAACACCAAAATGCCGGTCTCTTTCAATTACCATTATTATTATTATTATTATAATGGTAACAATACCATTATTATTATTATTATTATTATTATTATTATTATTATTATTATTATTGTTGTTGTTGTCGTTATAATTATTAATTAGTAAAACAAACTAATGTAATAATAATAATAATGATGATTATTAAAATAAAAACATTGATTATTATTATTATCATTATTATTATTATTATTGTTGTTGTTGTTGTTGTTGTTGTTGTTGCTGCTGACGTTATTATTATTAATTAGTAAAATAAACCAGTATAACAATAATAATAATAATAATGACGATGATGATTGAAATAAAAACATAAATATTATTATTATTATTATTATTATTATTATTATTACTGGACCTCTCACCTGTTCTCGCGTACCCCAACTTTGGTCGGCCATGTTGCAATACATGTAAATCGGCAGCAGTATCTGCAAGGCCGGAAGAAGACTAAAATGAGGAATGGCTCGCAGTATGACGGACCAATGGTCCGGGTGCAACAATACCGAAAACAGGAACGGACTCAGAAAGATAAGGATGTTGATCCAATGCACTGGCATCTGTCCTATTTGCGGTGTTTTGTTGTGATTTCTCATAATTTGGTCCACTTGTCGCCATGTTTTGTTGATATTTTGCCCAGTGCTGTTGTCATTCTGCCCACTTTGATAATCAGCTAAAATAAAATATTAATATACCTGTATCCGTTTACTGTCGATAAGGAAAAAATCCATAACATTAAGCACTTGAATTTAAGATTAGGCAAATGATATGAATATTTTATTAAAGATAATTAAATTCAGTCCTTTTTGATAAAGTTTTCTCCTTTAGATCATTAAATAGTTAACATGCATCTGTCACATGGGGAATTACATAACATTGACTTTTGTGCACAAAAATATGCTCACCTGCAAAACTCCCGCCATGAATATCGAAGGCCATTTCCACGGCGAGACACACAAAGATGAGCGAGATGAAGACTACAAGGAATGTGGTGGCCCGAATCTGCACAGAGCACCTGTGTCTGGTCACCAAACACAGCACGCCATAGCCAGTGCACACTGTCATCGCACATATCACACCAACTGTCACGTCTATCCCCTGAGCATCTAGACCAAGAGCCATTTGGAACATGAAAAACGCTGGACAAATGATTCTTAGCAGTAGCACTGTGAGTGAATAGCCCAAAAAGAAAACATTGAAGTTGGAGTTGGCATCCGCCAGCGTCAGGTATCTTGTAATAGACAACACAGTGTTGCTTAAAGTGGAGAGGTCCCAGCGCTTTCTTTGAGCGAAGAACTCGTCGTTCGACTCCGGGCAGAAGGTTTTGTTGGTGGAGGTTTCATTGTAGCCCACTTCCCAGCCTTTGCTCATCATTAAAAGCGACATCCAGCGGTCTTCACCTGAAAACAAGGAAAATCATTAATTAAAAGCCAATAATGCCCCTCATACCTTCATATAATAAATAAAAAGTATATCCAGGAGCTCAATAGTGTTCGCACAATAACCATATACCCCATCCAAAGCAGTTTTGTGGACCGTGACCTCTGAACACATTTCCGAGCTGCAATTTTTTCTTTGTTCCGCTTCTTCTACAATCTGAATGTTCTCTCCATAACTGAAGCTTGGACTTACCACCGAGCTTCTAATGTCTGTGGTTTTGGTGACGGATTTGGATTAAATGAATCTGATGATATAGCGGAAAAGTATTGAGCTTCCATGGACAATTAAAGTTTTGCTTTAGAAAGATCTAAGTCACTGTGTACGACTTTTAACCAACTGTGAGGAATCATTTTTTGAAGTATGTATCAATGCTACTTCTCATTTCCCCATAGTGCAATGACATTGCCAACCTTGATATTGACAAATTTATAATCATCACATCACCCTACACACACACAAACAATCTCCGCGCTCAGTTTGGATAAAAAACTAGGTTGGCCCCCAGTTGATAGGTGGGAATATGCCGTAGAAGAAAATGAAATACGGCATACCAAAATATAACTAAATAACGAATGGATGAATGAATAGATATTATAATAAATTAAAATGAAAATAATTAGCATTATCACTCTTATTTCTAAAAAATTCAATAAAGATCGCATTTTTAATCAAAAGTGCACATATTCGGTGGTAACACTAATTGATAACAATGAACTATTCACAAACCCATATCCTTCAGAAGGCTTTCGTAGCCGGAAGTGACGTGTGAACTGTATTCATCGATGACGTCATGGAGTGCTGCCGCCCGGTAGAGGGAGAAACAGCCTGGAGCGCAAAGTACAGAAGCCAGTGAGTATTCCGTCGACTTACCCCACCAGTGAGCTACAAAGTGAAAGTAAACGTCCTAATTTTTAAAGTCTTATATCCACTGTGAGGAACAATAAACGTGTACAAGGTAGTTAAAGTTTAGTTAAAGTAAATTTACGTACTGATTTTTAATGCCTTATATTCACTATAGGTAACCAGAAACGTGTGCAAGGACGTCAAAGTAAACGTCCTGATTTTCAAAGCCTTATGTCCACTATGAAGAACCAGAAACGTGTGCAAGGCAGTAAAATACACGCCCTGTTTTACTCACTGTGAATAAGCAAAAAACAGTCACCAAAACTGAAAAAATTTGTACAATGTTACCGTTCCAACTTCAACTCATTCATTCCACGTGAAATTGTTAACGGGCTGCTTACTTTGACAATTATCCGCCTGGATGAGAAATTCATACACCTTCTTGGCAGTCTAAGAAAAACTTTTATCAATTTTGCAAAAATCACAATTATTATTATTATCATTAATGATTAATTAACTTACCGAATGCGTATTCAAACTGCTGGAACCACACCAATGCACTGGTAGTGTGTCCTATAGGTTGAGTCAAGCCGCAGATAGCTCCCAGACGTCGGTTCAGGTGACACGACCACAGCAATGCCCGGATGTCTTCAACTGTAAACTCCATGTCAGCGTCCGTGACTAACACGTAGCCCGTCGGCTCTTTTACGTCCATCGTACCATCCTGGTTTTTCTGGTCACTACTGCCATTGATAGAAGCTCCAATGTTTCTGTACCTGAGGACATAATTGAAGTACATGACTTGGCTCCATCGCTTTAAGTTCCGGATTTTTCTTGAATCTTTCAGGTGTACGAATAACATGCTGGAACTGCTTCTACTGCCGTCTAACCGCCACCTGACCTGTACGCCGTAAGGAGTAGGAGACACACTGGAATCGCTGCTATCAAGAGAAAAATACGTCTGAATCAACTGAATCAACTGAGACGCATACGGCTTTAAGTGACCGTCACGTGCACCGTCGTCCATGACCAGATGCGTTTCCACTTTGACGTCACTTAAAATATCATCAAGAAGGATGCATTTCAGACTGCATAGATACTTGCTGATTTCTTCCACATTTTCCTGATACATTGTGGTGCATACATATAATGGCTCCGTTGAGTCTTCTGCACCTTGCATAAAACTGACATTCCCTTGTTCGAGACTTAGATTAAGAAACAAGAACTGTTCTAGGTACAGAAAGTTGACAGATGGCGACCGGAAGATCTTCTCGATAGGAAGTAAAAACGTACCGTTTGCTCTGTGGGTAAGCGACCGGTGTGTGCACGTGATAAACCACACAAGGACGCCGATAAAAAAAATCACGATTTCTGTTTTATCGGTCAAATAGTACTTTGCCTTTTGCTGATGGTTGTTGACAATAAGGTAGCCAATGAAGAAGCACATCAGAATCACGTGCGAGGCATTGAAAACCTGATGTTCCAAGCAGAGCTTAGCGCTTGTTGAGAATAATAGAAATGTTGAAGCTGCCACTAAAATCAAAACTGAAACAGTTGTAATGATTTCAACATCCACATAACTGAAATCTATATATCCAGTACCAACAGTNAGGTAGTAGGATTCTGTTGAAATTTTCAAATATGGGGTTACTACATCACCAGTTATTATTTCCGCCACCCCCCGCTCCCCCAAAACAATACTCTCTAAAAGTAATCGGGATTAAAAATAAGAGAATACGTTAATTTTTCACCATCAGTTGCAACTAACCATCATCTTGCGACTCCTGGCAAACAGCACTGATCACTAACATCAACTTCAAGCCGCCCTAGTGTCACTATTTTATCAGTCCAATCGCTGTGTCTTCAGCGGTAATATATATATATATATGGAGCTATTACCGGATGACCATTGTCCACGGAAGACTGAGTTCTCACTGGACGTCAGACGTCACCAAACTCTCAGCCAATCAGCCCCCAGTAATTTCACTCTCCAACTCACCCACGTGCTTTAGCTTTTGGTGACTACCCTCAGACCGTATAAACGGATAAGGCGTTTTTTAAACCATGTCTTAGATTTGTGAGCAAAAAAGGCCAAAACCACGACTCCAGCAACGAATTAACTATCCCAAAGTAAAATAACTTAACACACCGCGAATACACCAACATTTGTTACACTTCGTAGAGGCATGGCAATTTATTCTCGAAAAAATCTGACCGCTTTCTGAAAACCGTTGACCCCTGTCCTCTAGGTTCTTCTCTTCAACTCTGTTGCCAAATTTTCTACGTTTGGTATTCGTGTACAATGTACGTCTGATTAACTCGTTCCCGCCAGGAAAGATTGATTTTTTTTTCTTTTTCTGTTGCATACCACAAGCTTCCATGCCATAAGCTTTTAGTGCAACCAAAGTTTGAATTGCTCTCGAGAGTTTTAAAACGCCCAGAGCGGCTTGCTTTTCAATTGATCGTTTACAGTCGTTACCAACGAACCCTGAGAAAAATGATTGATAACGAGAGTAAAATGACCAATCACAGGCTGCCAATCAGTGGCATAGAGACCCAATCAAAGTGCAGAGATAAACTCACCTCATGTTGCAAATCGATCTATATTTGATAAGAAAATTTAAATAGACGCACACTGTTTGTAATTCTTTAATAAATTATAATATCTGCGCCGTGCGTTTCGATACACACCCAAACCCAATATAGAGGTGCATTTCATATGCTGAAGTGTCCAAAAGTAAAATTGAATAAATTCAAAGTTGCATTCTGTTTTTTAAAATACATACGTGGATAGAGCAAAAACCCACGACTGTCTCAATTTGAATTCAAATTTTAATATTTACCTTGTCTTAAATTTACGCAAAGAGCCCCAAATGGTAACTTAAACTTACGTTCCGGAAACGTATGGTAACGTATGTTCCGGGTCATTTCATTTTATCTATTTATTAATTTTTTTACCGCGTTCCGATATATTTTGTAGTGATTCAGTCATGGTAAATTATGTACGGACGTTTTCATAAATATTTAAACTATAACTCAATTGCTTTGCGTCATGGCTAATACTAGGCAACGTGTGTTCCCGAGAAAAATTGTCAAAAATTTTCATTTTGTGCAAGTACTTGGTTCAATAGAAAACGTTGTTTTCTGTTGCTGACCGAAAAAGATATTGCGATTCTATGATTGTTTGATATTTCTGATAAAAGATTTGGACCACGAATAGAAAATAGTTTAAATAATGCTTATTTTACTGTTGGCAGGGTGGAACTTCTCCGTTTTTTTCTTTAATATTCAGTGACAAGCAAACTAAAGTCCCTCAAAAACAATCAACTGCTCTATGCAGAAAATTATTATAATTTTTCACAACGTTATACTTGTAGGAGATGAATCAAAGAACAAAACCAGTGATGATTTTGTTTTCAAAGTGAGTAAAACGTTTCACAGCTGGACGTTTTGCATTTGTGACAGTAACGTATGTTCCTTTTTGGGGATAGACGATTAATTTTTTTATTATTATTCATGGTTCCAGGATAGTGAAACTGATGTAAACTTCTTCACGTGGGACCCTAAAATAATCAGACATAGTTTGCAATTTGTGCCCTAAATATTTTAAAGAGCATGCCTGTGACATCAATTGAACCTCTATATTGGGTTTGGGTCACGCTCGGCTGTCACCTTGATTGGATAGTAAACGGTTGTCGTAAAATCGCTAAATGATATTAAAACCCGGTGCATAAACTTGAAAACCACCTAGGACAACCTTGGACTGCCACATTCAGGCCTACCCAACTACTAGACTCGGCACCTAAGGATCCTGAATTAACCGGTATATCGGACCACACTACCCGTTTTCAAGGTGTGTGTCAGATCGCATTTCGGAGTATCAGCCAGAACACCGACAGGATGAGCCCTGACATGCTCGGCTGTCACCTTGATTGGATAGTAAACGATTGTCGTAAAATCGCTATATGATTTTAAAACCGGGTGCATAATTTTGAAAGCCACCTAGATGAACCTTAGACTGCCACATTAATCTAATACAATGCAAAAAATCCCTGTCAAAAGTGGTTAAAACATTAAAACCGAATGTCGTAAAGTCCCCATATATCCCCATAGAGACAATAAAATAGAGTACTCTAAAGTAAGAGTACAGTTTAAGGTTGTTCAGCCGAGCGTGGATGAAGCCGCAGTCGTGCTACAAAATTTGCTCTGGGGGATGATACTCCGAAATGCGATCTGACACACACCTTGAAAACGGGTTGTGTGGTCCTATATACCGGTTAATTCAGGATCCTTAGGTGCCGAGTCTGGTAGTTGGGTAGGCCTGACATTAATCCAATACAATGCAAAAATAAACTATAACAAGTGGCTAAAGCCTTCAAACCGAATGTCGTAAAGTCCCCATATACCTCCATAGAGACAATAAAATAGAAAGAGCTTGTGAAACAAAACTCAACCAACTTAAACATAATAATCGAAATAAAATACTGCCGGGCATCGGAGCGGCCTAAAACTTGGCACGCTTACCGCAAATAATGAANATTGGATTGTAGAGAGGACCGATATAAACATCAGAGGCTTTAGCCACTTGTTATAGTTTATTTTTGCATTGTATTGGATTAATGTGGCAGTCCAAGGTTGTCCTAGGTGGTTTTCAAGTTTATGCACCGGGTTTTAATATCATTTAGCGATTTTACGACAACCGTTTACTATCCAATCAAGGTGACAGCCGAGCGTGGTTTGGGTGTACAACGTGAACTTGATCCGGTTTTCGGACGCTATCATGACATAGACCCCATTTCCAGAGATTGGATCGATCTACTTTAAATCGACCTAACTCCCTGGGGGTTCACGCTAAATAGCTGTCAGCCGAGCGGGCACGAAAGTTAATTACCCCCTTACAGCTTGTAGTAGGCGGGACGGACATTTAAGCCGGATTATCTGACAGTAATCTAGTGAGACTCCCCGCGGGGATAGATCGATCTAAAAGCTCTGGGAATACGCCCATACATATCTAGGGATGTTATAAGACCATGGCGACATGATGATCACTGAAGCCTGTCCATTTAGCCAAGCTTCAGTGAAGATCGAGGACAACCTCGAGCCGCTACCCAAACATATCTCGCTTCACTCGACATTTCTGCGTAGCGTCTCTTGGAAAACTCGGATTTAACCTCGATGTAGTCTAGAATTCCACGACTACATCTTGGTTAAATCAGTCGAGGTCTTTTAAATGCTGAAAGCCAAAGACAGTGATCATGTGACCTTCTTGGCATCAAGAGAATAGTGAAGTTGCTTACGTTATATAGGCCTACCTACCAGTAGACAAATTTAAAATCTCTCACACTCTTAAATAAGTAGCATAAACTTTTCACGTTTAACAATTATTATTTATAATTTTATTATACTAAGTCATATCATATGGGTATGGTTTGGAAACGGGATTTCGTTTACATTTAAGGCACACGTGCATACAAATTATTGGTAAATCTATAACTTTTTAACGAGGGTTGTGCTATTTACTGTTTGTTATTAAGCTATTCTTCCTCTTTATCAGATATATCGGTAAAAATCAAATATATTCCCCCTTTGAAATTGTAATTACATGTAGCACATGAATGCTTTGAAAACCAGCACATGTATATTTCGAAACCGCCTCGTAGTAAAAAAATGTCACCAAAATGTAGAATTATTACTCCTGTGGACTTGAAATAAACATCCCTTTGATTTTGACTATATTCCGTAACCGCCTCGTTGTCAGATATATCACCAAAAAGTAAATCTCTTTCTCCTTTGCACTTGTGAAAATTTATATTCCGGTCCGACGCTCTTTGTTTATCATAAATGTCACTAAAAGGTAGAGGTTTTGCCTTGGGACCTTTTTGCCTCAGCAGTCCCAGCTTGGTGTGGCTCAGCTGAGACGCGCATGGTCAGTGTCGACGGCTGATTAAATACTTTTCAAGCCAGTTGAACGTCCACGACATGTATTTGGCAAAAATTGACCAAATTGGTCAGACATTACATAAGAATTCGGCAGGAGGTGACCAGCGCCCTTGGACGAGTTTATTCCATATAACATCTCTAGAGCGTGATATAGGGTCACTTTATTCGACTGTGTTTGTTCTCGGTATGTATGTCAAATAAAACACTGTCACCCTTTCGCGATATATGCCATGAACACCTCTCGCTGACGCTCGAGGTGTATTATCTCACACATGGTCCAACTTAATTTCCTGCTGCAATTGCCCGTGTTGATTGCAATTAAGTGGACCACAAGTCAGCTGTGACGCTGACATTTTCTATTATGTTCACCTGTCAAAGTGA